CGCCCTCCTCTTCGTCCATCGTCGACTGTATTGACGGCATTACGCTGTTCAGGCGGTTCAGCAGTTACTTCACATTTTCCTCCGGGTAGACGATATTTGTGTATCATTTGCATACCACCTCCATGTATGGCGGTCAGCGACGTGGATTTAAAGGCAGTGTTGCAGAATTTCTCTATGCATATGTTTGCCATTACGGAGAAGCAGTCGCGAATCCACCCGTTTGTTGCGAGGTCTTTCAGTTGGACGTGAATAAAATGCTTTCCAGGTAAACTTTCATTTACGCGTTTGATAAATGCAGAGATCCGTGTTCTCTTTCCAGTTGTGTGCCGCATTAAGACGCTTTATCACTGCTGAGAAGACTAGTTGAACCGAAACATTGATGGAAAGAGAGGCAATGTCGAAGCTCATCATTACCTCGTTTTCCTGGATGTTTCCTCGTAGTAGTTTGTGCCTGAAGTTGATCAACTTTAAATTCATGAGTTTTACCAGTGCTTTTGGTAGTGTCGTAAGGTATTTGCCACGTGATAGGCTGACGCTGAAATGCTGTCGATGATCAGACGATGATATGTATTAGTTTTATGTATTTTTGGTAGGTTATGCATTCCCGGCGATCGAGCCGTTTTGGAATTAAAATGGAAAAACTCATATTTCAAGATCATTTTTGATTCCCTGCAGGATTTGGTTCAGTTCTCTCACTAAACGTCCCCCCGTTTGTTCTCTTGATTGCTTTGTAAGGACCGTTCTGAATCATGTGTTCATTTTTTTGCTCATTAGCATGACGGCGTTGGTACTGTATGCCGGTGGTTAGTCACTGGTGATTAGCCATTTCTGAGATGACGAAGTGCAATCGCTTCTTCTTGGCGATGTCACTCGTTGGTTACGCAAATTTTTTATAACTCATGCGATGCATCTCCGTAGGTCTAGGAGAAGTAGTAATAATAGCAGGAAAGCGCAATTTCGTCGTGATCGTGAAGTCAAGGCCCATTCAGAGAATCGAGGTCTCTGCATTAGTCAGCGTCTTATCTGACAAGTTACGACCTACTTTTTTTCTATATCACTGTTATCATATATCGGAAGTTTTCGCGGAAGTTTTTTTTTAAAAATGTTAAAAATCCTAGACAACAAGTGTGAAAGGATTATGAAATCAGATTTTTCCCGTAGATGAGTTTTGCAGACTTTTAAGAGAAAGAAGTTATATCGAATGTTTAGTCGCAAAGCGTCATAATCAAACGTTTGCTATTTTGTTTCAGTAATTATTACGTCGGATTAAAAACACGTGCCATATTCGATAGAAACTAATCGTTCATTGGACAGCTCAGCGATGCCCTATACGAATGGCTATCCCTTTCTTCGACTTTCGCAACAGGTCTCGCTTCCTTCTGGTCGTTGGCTCTGGTTGGTCTTCGTCGTCAACGACCGGCTGCAAGTCGATCAACGCATCCATGAAGCTGTTACGGCAAAACATGGCGCCTGCCGTTTCTTCGCAGATCTTAGGCCCGGTCAGCGTCACCTGCGAAAAGCCGCTGCATTTGCTGAACTCAGAAACGAGCGCTTCGCTGTTCTCGTCCAGGCATTTACAGTAACCTGCCTGGTCGTCGTTCAGCTGCTTCACGCAGACCGGGGGCATTCTGAAATGGTGTGAGCAACTGTGACTGACGCAGATCGCCAAATGACCGTTCGTTGAAAGTTACTTATCGTAGCACGCTTTGTGGTCTTTGCAGAAGCTGTTGAACCTCTTTTCACTGTCCAGAAGTCGGAGGAACATGTTGGTCGTCTTGTGCTTCACCGCAACCGTCTCAAACAGGTCAACGAGGCACTTGTTCACCTGTTCCTGTTGCTCTGCGCTGCAGACGCTGTTGTTCTTCAGCAGATACAACGCGTAAAACGCGTCGATCGCCGCGTCCTTGTACAGGTCTCTAAATCAGACGCGTTGCACATCACGTCACGCCAAACGCGGTCGCGTTTCAGGTACAGTACACCGCTGTGTCACTCACGCGCCGCCGAGCTAACCGAAAATTTCCTTACTCGTTGTACATGTCCAGCAACTGGTCGAACGTGATCATCGAGTCTTGAACGACGTCAGAAGAGATCGATACGTTTTCCAATATTACAGCCACGTGAGGATAGTGCTTCTCCCAACAGTTCTTCATTAGACTGTTCGCGCTGGCTACCAGATCGTTCATGCACTTCTCCGGAATACTGTCGATGACCTTCTTTTCTTCTTGCTCCTCCTTATCTTCAACTTTACAATCGTTGCTGAAATCGAGAACGTTACCTTTCGTACTGCGAACATGCGATCGAAACTGTTACCGATCTCTACGTGCCATTCGAAAGCTGAACAGAGATCCCTTTGCAACTTCAGACCAATCGTTTGATCATTTCCAATTCAGGGTTTACCACCTATTTATGGAATTGTTTTTTTAAAGAATTATACCATACCCTGATCAGTTACGATTGCACTGTGTCCGAAGCACTTACGCAAGAGATGTTTCGAATTGTGTGAATGGAGCATAGTAATGTGATCTGAGGGATAACTACTCATTGCATAAGACACTTTCTCTTTTTATGATGCCCATCTGACATTGACGTCCGTCATGTGTCACACCTTCTTTGTCGCATAGCTTATTTGTAACACACCGCCGTATGAGCCTGATCAATCAATGGACCCCTGTTCTACTTCTTCTCGCTAAAGATTAGTGGCTTTATGGAGATGTCAAT